TCTCAAAAACCTTAATAGGAGTATTATGTCTGGATCAAACCTGGAGACAGAACTAAAGAGCCTAGCAAGTTTTTGTTCTTTTTCTTTCTACTTTTCTCTACTATAAAAGCTCCCCTATATAATAATACCTCCGTGGAATAGTTTTGATCTGACAAATGCCTAAGTCTTTCTACGCCTGTGAAAAGGTATTCCATGGCTTGAGCTTCATCCACCCACTTTAATACAGCATACAGAATTCTCTAGATTCCTTTAGCTCTGAGAACACTAGCACAGAGTTCAGTGTTCCCACATACCACATCCACTGTGTTGCCTACACCTCAAAAATGGCCAACAGATATGTTTTTAAAATGCTCAACATCACTAATCATTAAGGAATTGTAAATCAAAATCACGAGATACTATCTCACTCCAACTACAATGGCTAGTATCAAGAAAACAAGTGTTGGCAAAGATGTGGAGAAAAGGGAACACTTGAACACTGTTGGTGAGATTGTAAATTAGTACAACCATTGTGGAAAACAGTGTGGAGTTGCCTCAAAAAATTAAAAATAGAACTATCATATAATCTAGCAATCTCACTGCTGAATATATATAGCCAAAAGAAATGAAGTCAGTATGTCAAAGATATACCTGCACTTCCATCTTTATTGTAGTAGTATTCACAATAGCCAAGATATGGAATCAGCTTAAGTGTCCAACAACAGACGAATGGATTTTAAAATTTGTGGTATATATACACAATGGAGTACTATTTATCCATGAAAAAGAATGAAATCCTATCATCTGCAACAACATGGATGAACATGGATGGCATTATGTTAAGTGAAATAAGCCAGACAAAGAAAGACAAATATCACATGAGCTCAGTAATCTGTGGAATCTAATTTTGTTTAAGTTGATATCATAGAAGAAGTCACTAGAACGGTGTTAACAGACACTGAGGAGAGGAGGGAACAGTTGAGGAGAGGGAAAAGTTTGGTAAATGACTACAAAGTTGCAATTAGATAAGAACAAGTCTGGTGTTCTATTGCTCAGAAGAGTAACTATGGCTGGGCCGGGCGCGGTGGCTCAAGCCTGTAATCCCAGCACTTTGGGAGGCCGAGGCGGGTGGATCACGAGGTCGAGAGATCGAGACCATCCTGGTCAACATGGTGAAACCCCGTCTCTACTAAAAATACAAAAAATTAGCTGGGCATGGTGGCGCGTGCCTGTAATCCCAGCTACTTAGGAGGCTGAGGCAGGAGAATTGCCTGAACCCAGGAGGTAGAGGTTGCAGTGAGCCGAGATCGTGCCATTGCACTCCAGCCTGGGTAACAAGAGCGAAACTCCGTCTCAAAAAAAAAAAAAAAAAAAAAAAAAAAAGAAGAGTAACTATGGCTAACAATTAGGTATTGTATATTGCAAAAAAGCAGGAAGAAAGGCTTTTAAATTTTATCACCTGGGAGAAAAAATAAAGGCATGAGGTGATGAATGCACTAATTGCCCTGATTTGATAATTAGACAACATGTATGTATTAAAACATCAAATCATGCTCCATAAAGATATATTACAACGCATCAAGAAATAAAACAGCAATTTCTTCAAGTCCAACCTAATGTAATCCTTGTGGAGAGTAATTTGATAACATACATGATAGTTTAAAATCTATCTATACTTTACCAATTCTATTCCTAGAAATTTATCCTACATTCCTTTATATATATAATTACATATATATATATTCCTTTATTTATTTATATACATTAAATATATCCTATATTTGCTCATGTGTAAAATCACTCTTGTAGAGGAATATTCATCACATCATTGTTTACAATGGGAAATACTGGAAACTATTTACATATATACACAGAAAAACTTTAAACTGTAATACATTTCAAGTCTAAAAAAGAAATTATTGAAGAATATATATTACCTAACTTAGCCTAGCTCTTAGGTTGCGAGTTGCTCACGTTTTGAAACTCTTTTTAGGCAGACATACTGTAATGCCAAATAAAACTAGCCATCATTCACAAATTAGTACCTGTTAAATTATTTTTACAACACATCCATGTTAGGCACACATTACAAAAGCAAAAACCTAAAAAGCTAAGTACATGGGATTTTTTTCTTACTACTGTGCTTGATATATTAAATAATAGGTATCAAGTACCATTAGCCCTGGAACAACACAGGTTTGAACTGTGCAGGTCCACTTACACACAGAATTTTTTCAACCAAAGTCAGATGGGAAATATGGTATTCGTAGGCAGTGAGTGGATGTGAAGTGTCTTGGAGCCAATCCCTTGCACACACCAAGAGATAATTGTAATTCATTTTTACTGCATCTTTGCTTGTACATTTGTCCTTAGATTGAATTTGTGTTATAATCTTAGACATCCAGTATACATAATATTAGTTTGACTAGTAAGCTCAAGAAGAGTAGAAATGTGTGCTCATATACTTAATGCTGATCAATTGGAAAATGTAGCTGTTTTTATTTAACCAACAATATTAAACTAATCTTACTTACCAAAATGCACCTAAGTCACATGAACTTGAAAGACATTTGGGTTAGTTCTTATATATCTGGGAGTTTGGGGAACATGTAATATATATAAGCCCTAACTAATCTCTAAGCCAATTTGAATGAGTTTTTTAAGATCATTTGTAAATTAATTTGCTAATCTAGTAATAGAAAAAATCACATATACATAACATACATACATAAATATGTATAAATATGCATGCTCACTGATGCAAACAGATATTTTATAGCTTTCATTTTAAAGATTAGCTGTGAGTGAGTAATATAAAACACTGCTTTGTATAAAACAGTTGAATCTCATCTTTATACCACTTTACATGTTTATCCTAATTGTGTTTCTAGCAAAAAATGGGACATGGTAAATTTTCCCCTTCAATATGAGGGCTAAAGTTCTTACCACTATTTGTTGAAAACATCTTTAAGATTTTCATTGCTCTGATGGATAATTTAATAGAGGCTGGGACTACATTCTAGTCCAGCGACTAAAGGAGACATTAAGCACCTGTTTGGATAGCTTCAAAACCCATCTAAATGGATAATAAAATATCCAGTATATTTCCAATTAGCCTTTTATCTATTAAGCCTCAGGTAGTTTCTATTGGGGGAAGCTGAGTCCCTTAAGAGCTTCCAGTGGGAGCAGAAGGCTTAGAGTTCAAGTCATTATAAGGAGCTAAGGGGTTGAAGTGTAAAGGAAAAGTCCAGCAGGGGTGAACGGAGGAGAAATGGTAGGGTTTAAAGGGAGACATATCAAAGGATTTAAAGGTGCTGAAGGGAAGATTCAAGGTGGTAAGAAGAAGGAAGAGAGAAACTGAGGAGATTGTAAGTTTCCTAAAGAGGTCAATGAAGTTCCAAATTATTCTCAGCAAAATCATGCCAACTGAAGGAGGCAGACAGATTTGGGGAAGCATAAAGTCTGCAGGAGTTCCATCAGGGGTTTTAGACAACTAAAAAAATTTCCATGAGAAAGACAGGATCAAATAGAGAAAACGAAGAGACCTTACAAAGGAGTAGGGAGAAAAAATGTTCAGCCCAGGAGTCATGGAGTGCATCCTCACTTAAACAAACTAAGAAGAATTTTCCAGCCTATGGCCAGGGCCAGAGGCAGGAGTCAGGAAAAGAATCATCCTTACTCCAAACAAAGAAGCAGTAAGAAAGACTTCCAGGACCACAGGTGTTTGAAACAATGAAACCTGAGCCTCTAACACAACTTCTGCTTTCCTGGGATTCTAGCTTTTTACAAACAGAAAACACAGAATCCTAATGCAGCCTCCATCTGCGACTCTAACCCAGTTTCTAGAATACACACAGAATCTCAGTAACAATCTGTCCTTGCTGATCATCAACATCATCCAGAGTAATGCTTCAAGAGTCTGACCCGCCAATGGATCCCTAATCAATCAGTCAGGAGTGAAGACAAAGCCTTCGAAGTATACCATTAGAGTCCTAAGTGAGAGGTCCAGGGTTCCAGTGATGAACCTGATCATAACCAAGCTGGAAAAAAAATATATATATATATAGCATGTCTTATTCTATATTATACTCCTCCCAATCATGCATTCAGGTGTCAAAGTTTTCTAGCCAATGACCACCAGGAGCACATCTGGATTGAAAAAGTTGGATTTGTTACTGTTTCAATGGGATACAGCACACACCATGGGGAACTGAGAGAGCTGCCTTATATTGTCAAGGTGTTAGAAAAGGGTATTTCAGGATTTGAGCTTGAGTCAGGAGAGTTGCAGGAGGGGTCAGGAAAGTGAGGATAACCTCTGGATTGGATGCTGTCAGCAAACATGCACTATGCTGAGATGAGGAGTCTTGATAAACATTATCTAAAAGGAGGGCAGACTACAGGGAAGCTTAATCTGTAATTCATAGTGAAGCAGCCACCACTGAATGAGAGAAAGGAATGTTTTTCGCACACTAACTGTGCAAAACCATAGAATACAGTTTTGTCTGTGCTTTAAAACATATGCACTGGTTTTGCCTTTTGCTCTCAATTTATCACAGTCACTGAATGACCTTGTGTGATGCTGGTGTTTTGTGAGATTGTGTCCAACATGAAAACACCATTGCCTAACTGTGAGCATCCAGTCACCCTCTAATGACTCTGAAGCTTGGCTGTGTCAACACAGCACCCAGATGTCAGAAGTTGCTTTCCTCTTTCTTACTACACACGCCAAGTCATTACAGATAAGAAAAAAAAAATTGTCCATTGATAGGAGAGTTTGACAAAATCAAATTGAACAACTGTGCCTAGTAAGTGTTGATTAGTCTACCCGTGTTAGAAAAATCTCTCTAGTATTATGCCCAAAACTAGTGTCTTATTTGGAAAAAAAAAAAAAAAAAACTGAAGTAAATAGGAAGTTGAGTTATTAGTAGGAGCACAAGGAAGTATTAGGTAAAATCTGAAGTGTCTGTCATTTGGATTGTCTAAACATTGGACAACCAGCCCACAACCCTTAAGAAATACCATTTTTATGTTGCTCATAGTTATTTTTTATTTGAAAGAAAATAAACTGGTTAGAGATAAAGGAGATATAGTAGGCAAGGTAAGTAATTGGATGAAATCACTTGAAATGCAAACAGCTGTGACCAGTTATGGACGACTCAGGCTGATTCCATCTCAGGGTAACAGTTTACCACTCAGGATATCCTGAAGCCATTTGGGTAAACCTGCAAGAGAAACAAAATATTGTCAGGAGGCTTCACAAAGGATGAAGAATGTGGCTTTATTCTTTGGAATCTGAAAGAACTAACAAGTGTCAAATGTCAACTAAACTCAGTAGACTGAAAGGAACATGAGATTTTAATTCCAGGAAGATAAACAACCAATTCCTGTCCTTAAAGATTTTGGAAATATAGCCCTAGATGGAAGCCCAAGTAGGTTAGAACTTTAGACAGAACTAGAAAAAAGTCAGTACATATGAGTTTTCCTATAATATGGCATAAAGAGATCCAGCCTTCTAATAAGAGAAAAAAGCCATTTTCTCACTCATAGTCCTAGTTTATAGATTATTGACAGAGTGCCAAGCACTGACCCAGACATGAAAAACTATAAAGCAATATTTGAAGAAGATTTCTTAAGGACTTTGATTGTATGAGTGCAATTTTAGTCCTTTTTCTTTCTGCTCATGTGCTCAATGGAAAGTTTCTCATTGTAACTTTCCATATGTTTTATTTTTTATTTTATTTTATTTTTTTATTTTTTTATTGCATTTTAGGTTTTGGGGTACATGTGAAGAACATGCAAGATTGTTGCATAGGTTTGAGTGCAATTTCAATTCTTTTTCTTTCTGCCTGTGTGCACAAAGGAAAGTTTCTCATTGCTACTCTTCCATTTCCTCATTTTTAAGATGTTTATTTCATAGAATGACTGTGATATTTAAATTACGATATATACATAAATTTTATGACACAGTTCCTGGCATATGTTCAGACTGAACAAATGTTGTAATCAATGCTACATGAAAGTTAAAGTCAAGAAAAAGTGAACCCAGAATAGGAAGAATGTGCATTGATCCTTGATGAATGTCCAAAATCCCAGAAATAGCCTGAATAGCATTCAAAATAATCTGCCTCAAGAAAGATTGTAAATTCACTCATTGTTTAACTATTTTCTATTTCAGGAAAATTCTCTAAAGGAAACAGAGATTTTACCTGATTACCTGATTTTAAATTGCCTGATTTAAACACACACACACACACACACACACACACACACACACACACTACATGATTTTAAAAAATAAAAAAACAAAAGTAAAACAGTTGCCTAGTTTCATGGAGACACTTACTTTGGTCTTTCCAACAATATTTCTACTAAGAAGAGTTTTCCTTAATAAATGCCAATATTTCAATATTTACCATTCAGGTAAAATTTGTAACCTAGGAGTCAGGTAACCTCCTGACTCTTCTGATATTTATCTGTTGACTTGACTTAGAAAACTACAAGGAATTAGAGAACAATGTAAAGAAGAGGTCTCCCTGACACCAAAAATAGAGTTTCTGTGAGAATAGAGAACGCAAGGAATCAAGGAGCCACGTAAAAGAAGCACATAGATGGAGGAGTCTTGCCACCTGGAAAGCGCTTAGGAGCAGTGGTTGCAGCAGTGGTGGTTGTAGTGGTTGCAGCAGTGGTGGTTGTAGTGGTGGCAGCAGCAGTGGTGGCAGCAGTGGTGGCAGCAGCAGTGGTTGTAACGTCTTCAGGATCAGTGTCGTCAGGGCCAGGTAAAATGAGGAGAAAAAGCTCTAGGTGAGACTGACTCCTGAAACAAAATTTATCCCATCCAGGGGTGGACAGACATTCCTCATCCTGAATTCATCTCTGTAAATCTGTCATCAGCTCTGTCTTACCTTTAGCTTTCCTGTCCACTTTTCTCATGCCTCATTGTTCCCTGTGCTGTCCTTGCTGGGACAGAAAGAATTTGGGATTTCCCTCCAAGGACAATGACATTGATTAAAGAGACAGGCAAGTACTTTGTTCCAGGCATGAGCACAGAAGACCAACGCCACGAGTGTTCCTATTCACAGAGACGGCTGCTCAGAAGCAATAAGGAAATCTCTAGTAGCCTGATACTCTGATGCCTTCCCACAGAATAACCTAAGACAGCATACATTCCAATGCAGCATGAATGAGTCTGAGTGAAGGGATGAACCCTAGAGGAAAACAGGAGGAAGGTTAAGAAGATGTATCTCATCTTAGAGTCACATCTCCTGTCTTAAAGTGCAGTAAGATATCTTCCAACAGGCTCTAGAATGAAAAGAGCCATATTTGTCTCACGCTTTATGACACTTGGACTCCATTTATTAGAGAGGTAATTGTGAGAGCCACATTGGATATAACAGGAGAAATTAGTACACTTATGACAGTAACAAAAATGCCCCATCAATTATTACATGTACAAAGGGACTGGGTAAGAGTTATGAAAATTATTTCTTTCTCTAGACTCTACACCAGAGCTATTGATAAGGATCAACAGTCAGACCCCTCATTGGTGAGTTAAACCCACCTCAGCAAATAAGTAGCTCTATCTCCAAACCCACACTCTAGCCATGCTATCTCAGGCCTTATTTAAGAGAATTTTTTTTTAATGGGGCCTCACATGGCAGGAAAAATATATGTGAGGTCTGACTAGAGCTAAAGCCCTTGTGACCAAAGGATGTAAATTCCCACCATGTGAAGGATCAAGACAGACCTCCTTAGCTGGTGCATAGGCACAACACACACACAGTATAGAATGTGAAGAACACTTTGGGAGAAGCCCAAGAATGACTTAAGGCTTTGATCCACAAGCTTCATTTTCAGGTTGGAGAAGAGAAACAAACATCAGCCTGGGAATAAGGAATATACACCATTGCAAAGAGTAAAGCGTAGACCTCTTCTTCTACCTGACCCCAGCACTTCACATCCCACACACCACCCTCACTTGTGATCCAAATGGCCTCATATTATATAACTTTCAAAATTACGGTATCTTCCTTCATTCTGAGACCCAGTGGATTCTTTTTGACACTGGCTATATATTCAATCCTTCCGTTTATTAAAGGTATCTCTCAAAAATTCTCGGTCCACAAATCAGACCTCATGCTCCTGTGCCTTCTGCTGGAAAACAACAAATAATAAGTCTACATTTGTATAAATCTATGGCCTAGATTTTATGTGTTCTAAGAATGTAGAAGAGATAAGCAGATTCACTTTGTTCATGGTGAATTTTAAAATCAGGAATATAGCTTCCTCAGGCTTTTGCTTAGGATTCCTTATAAGTGAGAATATCCACATGGAAACTGGCTGTTTGACATGAGGCCAGAAATGGAAAACAGCCATTGAAGGAAAAAGATGACATTCAAGTGCAGACTCACTAGCTGGACCCGTTTCTTCTTGAGTCGGTGTTGTAGCAGTCTCTGAAAGAGAAGAAAGAAAAATAAGATGTTAGCTGAGTGCCAGTTAAGAGAATGGAGGTAAGAGAGAATATGGACAATACTCCAGACTTGACGGCGGAAGGCGCTCAGGCCTTGGTGTACCAGTTGAGGAAAAACAAGTGCACAGATAATATAAAACCCATGAAAACCAATCAAAAACCTGATGTGTGGTCATTCTTCCTTTCCTGAAATAAACCTCTGATTATCTTCTTAAACATATTTTACTAACAGTTACAATAAGCTTGGGTTCCAAGGTTATTACTGAATTAGAATCTGAGTGAATTAACAAGAGCCTAAGGACAGTCAACTCCATCTTGAATGGTCAGTCAAAATGGTGATACAACAAGTTGGAGAGGAGACATCGAAAAGCACGTTCTAAGCAATCATAAGCCCACATCTTTAGCGTACGTATGTATATTCCCGCAAAACTTATGTTCAGGTAAGAATCTTTACTTACGAGCAGAGACTAGAAAGGTGGACACACCCAAGAGTACCAGGACTGCTAAGAACTTCATGGTGGTGACCTGAAGATCAGGGAGCACACACAAAGATGCTTCAAAGCCTAGGAGAAGGCAAAGCGCTGACTTCAGGATTCCACATCCTGACAATATATTTGCAGAGGGCACCAATCAGGAGCTGCCAACCAGAATCCAGGTTAGGTAATTCCAGGAAAGAGCCGCTGGAGAATCAACAGCACAGCCAGGGGCCCTTTGGAAAGGTTGTGAGTTCAGATAATTGGTTCTGACTAAACAGGTTTCAATATGAGTCTCTCATATTAAATATGCTCCAGGCAACTTCTCTTTCAGGCTTCCTCTTACAGTAGGGTATAGTGTCTCCATAATTACCAGCTCCCCTGCCAGGTTAGAGATGCCCTGAAACCAGCCTTCCCGAAATCTGCAGTGCTCTTTTCATAGATTCTAGGAGTTACACACTTACAGAGTGCTTAGCCCTCTGTCTCCTCAAACGGGAGTAATCAGGGTAGAGCAGCCTGATACATCCTGTGTAACTCAGGCTGTGCATTCTTCAAGTCATGGCCTCTCTCCTGAACATGTAATTAGGTCGTGTGACCCTGATGCAGAGTAGGTCCAACACTAAATGATCTGAAGAACCAAATATGACCTCACTGCATTTAGCAACTACTGTGTAAAAATTCAAGACCCAAAAGTATGTACATAGAATACTAAACTAACATTTGTTAATTCATGCATCCATTTAGTCAACTTTTTCATTCAAAAACTTTCATTGAGCATTATTATGTGCCAGGCACAATGCTAGATGTTAGAAAACTAGCGGCGAACAAAGCACACTTAAACGTTATTTCATTCATGTTTTGCAGGAATTCATACATTAAAAAGTAAAAGAGAAAACACAATGCATTAGGTGTGAGGTGATAAAGCCTAATAAAAAAAGAATGCAGGAAAGCAGAAAGGAGAGTAAGTTTAGAGATGGAAAGTGGAGAGCAATTTTGGATAAGGTGACCAAAAAAGGCATTACTGAATAGGTGATATTTGAACAGAGTCTTAAGGACTTGAGGAATCAACGTGGTGGTATGTTTGGATAATGCAAAGGAAACGAAATGGTCAGTCTAAAGGAAAGGAATGATGAGTGCATGTAGAATATGGTCATCCAGACCTCTCTGCAGTTGTTGACTAGGGCCCAGCTAGTTTGGCCCAACTGCACCAAGTTAGATCAAACTACTTGTCCTTTGTCGTAATGGACCCAAGCTGCTAAGTAAAGACAGCAAGGGAGGAAAACAATCCACATTTGCAGCACAGCCAAGTGCTGGACTCAACCGCGGCCTCAAAGAGGGGTGATGAACATCTGTAACACTCAGAATCATAGGGAATTCTCTACATTTTAAAGACTTCCCTTGCTTTCAAGTTATTCTTGTTCATACAAACTATGCCTTTTTGTGTCATACCCTCATGGGAAGGATCTCTGTAATCTGGAACAGCACTGAACATCTATTTCTCCTTTTATCGGAGATTCTGTCTGATAACAGCAACCACTCTACTTGCCAAGACATGCTAAAGGGGTCCCCATCATGTGAATGAAGAAAGGCAGAGGAAATTCCTGAGAGGTTAATTCTTTAACCTCAGAAGGGCAGGTCAGTGTCCTTGTCCTGGGTAAACTCATATCTGCCATGAGGCACAGAGTTGTCATAATATGGCAAGATTTTCACATAAAACGATGCTAAGAAAAAACACATATTCTGAAGGAAAAGTGAAAGAGAAATATTTAAAAGAGACAAGGAAGGAAGACTTAAAAGACAGGTCCTATCTGATTATACCCAGTAGGGAATAAACCTTACGGTTACCCTCATAAGGCCTCTCAACAAAACTGACTCAAATTGAAGGGTCTTCTAGGAGCTAGTTACTCACTGAGAGCCTGCTGTGTCCCTCCACAGAGGCAGAGACCCACCAGACAGACTTAAGGCAAAGACTGACTTGCTAAGGAAGAAAGATTAAACATATGTTATCAGTTAGGGACCACTCAAGAGATCAAAACCACATACTGGATTAAACAGGAAAAATGTGATATAAATAATTTCTAAAGTTGGATAAATGAGTAGCTATAAGGAGGTTCTATGAAATCCCAGGGTTGAGGGAGAATATCCAAGGAAGGACAATTACAGAAAGGGGCCTCTTCCCTAAAGCTGGTATTCAGAACTCACTGGAGAAGCAGCCGTCTGGGTGGCAGAGAAGCATGCTGGTTTGCCCAAGCTGAAAGCTGGTCTGCAGTTGCTGGGGAAGCAGACAGTCTGCAACCAGTGGTCTGATGTGTGAAGGACATGAAGGCTCAGGGTGTAAGGGAGCCCCGTGAGGCCTACAATAGTTTCAAGGCTTTATTTTTCTGGAGTTATTGGATTTTGATAATATTATAATGCTTCAAATTGTATGTTCTTAATAAAATCACTTTAAGAGGAATCTAAAATTCAAGTATAAAGTATCATGTGAGTATATAAAATATACTCAGATCTAACACTAGATTTTTTTCATTAAAATGAACAGCATTATAAATAGGGCATGTTATATTAAAATTAAACTGATAATTGTTCTAATATCTATAAATTATTCTACTTGTTAACATCCATCAAATAGTATGCAATATATTCTATGTAAAATCATATGTTGTGTGTATAACCAAATCTTATCTCTCTCCATGTATATATATACTACATACCAGTATATGTATAATTTTAAAAGTGAAATTTATACATATCTCCAAAAGTTTTTACTACTGCCCTTTCCCATTACAAGATTATTTTTGCATTTTTTTATAAAAATTAAAATAGTCATATACATAAGAAAGTAAAAATCTCTAGATAGACAAAGGCAAAGATAACCACCATTTTCACTTGATGATTACATATTCCTGAAGATTTTATGCATATATGAATTCATATGTAGTTACTTAGTCCTACTCCTTTATGTCAAATATTCCATACATTGCTGTTGTCCCTACCAAAAAGCAAATGTTAAACAAATTTTCCCAAGTTTCTATTATAATAGGCAAATATAAGTAATGCAAATGACCATATATTTGTGTTTGTACACAAATTATTTTAAAGTGCTGTACAAAACGGCCTTAAATCATAAAACATTCTTTCTTCTTTGTGCATTCAACACTACTTCTTAGAACTCTAACTCAGTTCCTGTATATCTGTATTATATCTTTCAATAGCTTCGTTATATCATAATTTAGCATTACTTGCTTACAGGAATTCAGGTCGTTTGCATTCTTTTGCTATTATCAAATACCAAAAGAAGCCACTGATATTCTTTTCAATGTACGCTTATGTACAAAGTCTCTATGCAGTAAATGTCCAGAGGTTTTTGAATCACAATATATGTATATACTTAATTTGACCTGTATTATCAACAGCTTTCTCAAGGAGCTCTAAAAATTAAAATAACAAAAACAAATATCAGGGCACATTTTTATGACCATTTCTACCAACAGTAAAGGTTATTTCAGTTGAATTTTGCCAGTCTGTTATGCCAGAAGCAATATTTGTTAGGTTAACTTGCATTTCCCTGAGTGCAGTAAGTTTGGGCTTATTGACAACTTGAATTTCCTCTTCCATGATTTACATGTTCTAATCTTTTTATCTGTTGTATTTCCTGTATTTATTCCTTTCAGGATTCTGAGTATATAAGAAATATTAACATATTATCTTTTATAAAAATCAAAGTTTTCCAATCTAATACATTTTAATTTTATTCACAATATATGATTAGAGCAAAATTAAGTGGAACTATCATTTTCATTATAATTTCTACATTAAACAATTTGAAAAACACACAACTGGGTCATCTTATAACTGTGATAACTTAATATACCACCATACAATTCATATCTGTTATTAATCCCCAGATTTACTCAAGGATCACATTAGTGATCTGCCCCTAGTCATTACTGCACACTCTAATTTAGAGCATATCACAAAGGGAGACAGGCTCCTAGAGAAAGCAGCACAGAAACCCCAACCTGAAGAGAGGTCTTCAAGGAGCATCAGGGACTTGGTTCAAAACCAGTCGCCTCACTCCTCACCAAACACCACAGAGAAATTGGAGGAACCTGCAGCAGCCCTGGCCTGAGATCAGCAAGGACACATAGCTGAGTTTCAACAAAACAAGAATTAACTAGACATAGATTAACAATGGATTCAGATAATGAGTTTATTTAAAGAAAAAAAAAAAGAATGGAGGTGAAAGGAAGTCCCAGGATGATGGGAGGTGAAATAGGATTTGCTGTTAGGACCAAAAGTAAGATCTCATTCTGTGCTCACATCAAGGTAGCTGAGGCATACACAGGGCTGTGCAGTGACTGTCTAGCATCAGAAATCCGAATGTGTGCCCTAAGCATGATTATGTAGACACAGCACGTTTCTACTATGCATGACCTGTTACTTTGTTACTTCTGTTGTACATTATTGCCATTCAATCTGAAATTAAATACATATTCAGGCAAGCTTCCATGGCTTCCAAACTAAAGTAATCCCTAAAGTTACCATTACATAATTTGATTCTGTTCTTATCATAATACCCATCATTGCCTGATATTTGCTTGTCTCTTTCTTTCTTTGCTCTTTGTGTTTTGTCGGGTTTTTGTTTATGAAGTTTTACTCTTGTCACTCAGGCTGTAGTGCAGTGGCACAATTTCAGCTCACGGCAACCTTCACCTCCCGGGTTCAAGTTCTCCAGCCTCAGCCTCCCCAGTAGCTGGGATTACAGGCCTGTGCCACCACAACCAGCTAATTTTGTATTTTTAGTAGAGATGGGGTTTCACCGTGTTGGTCAGGCTGGTCTTCAATTTCTAACCTCAGGTGATCCATCTGCCTCAGCCTCCCAAAGTGTTGGGATTACAGGCGTTGAGGCACTGTGCCCAGCCTTTCTTGGCTCTTTGCTTGTCGGTTTTCTGCCTCCCTCTCAGTAAATAAGCTCTGAGAGACAGAGAAAAAGAAGTTCCTTTGCTTAACACTATTTCACAATACTTAGAAGAGTACCAAGCACTTGATAAGTTCTTGATACATGAGAGTTAACTAGAGGAAAAGATCAAAGAAAGGAAGCAATTGGAAAGAAGGAAAGCAGACAGGCTGAAAGAAGC